ATGTTGCATTTATACTTAATATAAGCGAGTTATATTGCGCTGCCAATTATTCTGAAACGTATGTGTGGAATTTGTCAGAAATTGATTGATTTATGATATATCGAGAATTTTTTAGCACTGAACTTCAGTAAGCAACTGAAATATTAAGCAATAAGGTGACACTGCACATTTGCAGAAATTGAAGTGTATTGCAATATTGTTGATATCAGCCAAATAATTTGAAGTGAAGAATGAAATGGCATTGATCATCGTCCTAACACATCAATAATACGTTTTAGTGTACACAAACAAATCTGCCCTCATTGCCATTGTCGTATTCAGTTGAATGCACAGTAATGACACCAGTGAACCCTGAGCAACTGTTTCACAACACCTTTAATTTATCAATTCAGTGGCTTTTTCTTCCATACGAGCATTATTCTTTAACACTGCATTGCGGTTGGAGTAATGTTGCTTTACTGTTTTTTGGCATTGTGATCTTGTGATTAGTGATGCCATTGAACGATGGATTTGTTGACATCATTTGTGCAATATTTTGCAATTACGAGGGTTGAATACACACAAAGAGGATTAAATTCACATTGATGAACTAACTCAATAACTGAACGACCATAATAACAATTCAGCACAGTGATCATTCATAATAACCGTATACAGCTTTCGTATATTTGAGCTGTCGCTGTTTGAAACGACCGAAATCAGACATCCCATTATATAGTAACAAGGCTGAATAACAGTGATGATGAATAATAATAATTTCGACGATACAGTGAAACACACGCATTTGACGAGCTAGAAAATGTTCATAATGCAGCAAACTGAATTGCAAATCAATGGATTCCATTATATAATTTGTTTAAAATCAATTCTAATTGTTATAAATTTTGAATGACAAAATCAACGGAACGTCATATCTTACTAATTACATTGACCTGTCAATAGTGAAAATTAATGTGCGTGTGTAACCACGAACTGCTGGAATTATTTCATTCATGTATTCGAATGCGAGCAAATGAAGTAAAGGAGTAATTGGAAATTCAGCGTTACATAAACGATTAGCTGTGAATCCGGTGTTGAAACATTAAATGATATGCAAAAAATGAAAACAACCCCAAAACATGATGTGAAACTGCAGAGAGATTTCAGAATCACCAAACAAAAAAACACAAGGCGATACACAATAATCACCGGAAATTTACATCAATGCATCAGCATCTACTACAATTACACATCTGCAATAGACCAACGCATGCTTTCGACGTTTCTACAATTGTTATTTTTTGATTTGGGACGAAATTACCGGCAGATACCCTTCGTGAAGAAACATTAATTCTCTGAGCACCCAACAAGTCAAACATCACTGTCCAGACGATTTTGGGAAGTATCTCAAAATTATTTGTTTCACACGATAACCTCAATGCACATTGTTTATGAAATTCGTCCAGTCAATTTACAGCTACGCTGAACTCAACGCAGCTGTAATATCAGTTATCAACTCGTAACTATAAATTTCATGTGTGATATTGAATTCATATTCTTAACAGTTGCAAAAAATGATGAAACGAATGATTTAGTATATTCTTCTGACAACAAATGTCATCATTTTCGTATCTCAATGCGATGTACTGGTATCCGTTAACTCAGCAGAGAAAATGCACACGAAACTGATGTACGTATCCGATACCATCATCCCAAGTAACCAATTTTCTCACATTGATCATTCAAAATGAAAACAGATTCATTTATTTAGCTGGATACATTCTGACCTTCCGATATGCCAAGGTATTCGAACTTCTGCACCTTTCAAGTACAGAGCCTGGTCAGATGCACAATGGCAAGATGATTTGCGAAGGGACGGGTGGGTTCGGATCGAGAATGACGAGGAATCAACTCCGAATTCACACAATTTCTGGGCCAAAACCTGTACTGATTGTTATGCCAAGTCTTGTCAGAGCTTACCAGAAAGCCATCGCCATAGGAACTGCTATTGAATTTATCATTTTATTAACAATGATTTACTTAGTAAAGTATTACTGCTAATTTTATCAGCAAAAGTGTCATGTTCAGCGTCGATCGTACAATATTATCTGGACTAATAATTTGCGTAGCAATTCACGTTATCGAGGTAACTATCGAAACTATTTTCGTTATCAATTTTGTGATTACAATTACAAGCAGCATTGTTTGATGAAAAGCAATTTCAATAGATATGAACCGACAAAAAATCGCTTTTCTTAATTTGATTTTCAACGGAAAATTGTTGTATTCATTGTTGGAATATTCCGATAACAGTTGTTGGAATATTTCAATAAATTCAAAAAATCGACAAACAATGAATCAATAAAGCTCCGTTCATATGCTTTGAAAAAATTTTATTTTGAAGGTTTGATGAAAACGAAACCATTTCATGAGAAGCAGAGTTTATCAACGTTTTCTGCGTGCAAAGAACCTTCCTCTTGTAAACTCGATAAAAAAGATGCATTTGTCAAATGTCTCTGTTTACAATGCACATCGATTTTTCCAGAAAATATGATTGAAAGTGAATGTCGTTTTCGTAATCTGTGCACAAAAACTGCACGGATTACAGAAAGTCGACTTTTGTTGATCATCGTTATCAATTCTTGTTAACATCATCGAATTCCATCATCGTATAGGTCAATATTCGCCACATATAAGTCAATTTGCGATACGTGTTCACAGTGGATTTGATTCCAGAAAGTGACTTATTCTTACAATGAGTCAATTCATTACTATTCGTCATCGCATTTCAACAACAGTTCACTGTGCG